CTCAGTTTCCTCAACTGGAAGAAAAAAAAAAAAAAACAGGAGTTAAGCACTCCTGCCTTACTTACCTCGCAGTACTGTTTCAAGAATTGAAGGAGATATTTCTTGTGACTATTTTATACATATTAAGTACAACAGATACAAGGCTGTCTCTTAACTCGATCATTTTCTCTTCTCAGAAAGACTACATTTCCCAGCCTACCTGTAGTTAAGGGGATAATTTGACTAATTCCCACAATATTAGTGAAAATGATATCACTTGTGGCCCCAAGCAGTTGAGGGTGTATATGCTTTCTTCACAAATTCTCTTTTCCCCATCTTCAGCAATTTTGGAGGTCGTGTGTTCCAGATGGCATAACTATAAAATGGAATAAGGCTGTCTAATCTGTACTGGACTTCATGTAAGAAACAAATCTTTATTTTGCTGCCACTAAGATTTTAATGTCTATGTGTTACTGTAGCACAGCCTATCTCATACTGACTAATACATTTTGAGGATGTAAGCTATTAATTTTTAATGTACTAGCATACTTAAATGGTCTCAGTACCCAGAAGTCCTGGCAATGTATGCATGACTTAGGCAAAGGGATTTGACTGCTAGCCAGAAGGTTGGTGGTCCAAACCCACCAGCTACTCCACAGAAGGAAGACTGGGTGATGTACTTCCATAAAGATTTACAACCTCAGAAGCCCAATGAGGGTTGCTATGAGTTGGAATCGACATAATGGCAGTAAGTTTGGTTTCTGTGGTTTTTTTTTAAGGCAAAGCCCCAGCATCAGCTGTCCTCAGAAGGTTATTTTCTATCATTATAGCATTCTCCCAGATCCTGAACAAAACCTACACAACCTTCCATCTTCCATTTCTCTTCTCAACCTCCTCTTCCATACAAATGCTAATTTCATAGTATGTTCTGAAGCTCTTTCTCAACAAATACATCCCCATGTGTCTGCTACTCTAAAGAGTAACAATATTCCAAATAGCTGAGGGTTGTCAATTTTCCAATGTTATTCATATCAGGAAACTATAGCTTTGAAAACTTCTCAGCTAGACAACAAAGCAGTTTATAGCAACAAGTGAAAAGCTTACCTGCATCTGCAAAGAGACTTGTTACCTAAGGGAAACTGTTAAAATGGTATGTTTCAGACTTGAAAGACTCTTAACAGAAGAGTATCTGCTGTGGTGCATCCAAATGAAAACACTAGAATATTCTTCACAGTAGCTCTCCTTTGCTCTTTTATATAGAAGATCTTGCTACAGACATCTTCAGTAGTTGAAAAATACACTTGTATACTATGTATACGTTATTAGAAGATTATAGAATCATAATTCTCTTGAAATGGCACCTTACGTGATTCTTGGATGGATCAAGACCTTCACCAACTCGGTAGAGTCAATGGCTATGAGGAAAGCAGCTTTGTGGGCACCTGGTCATAAGAAAAAAAGGAAGAGAAAGAGAAAGGAAGGGGAGGTGCAACATCACTGTCAAAATTCATTCCACTATAACCAAAAAGACTACACAGAAGGTGGAAGGATGTGTGTTTAAACTGATATATCAAGGTAGGTTATAAATTGGAAATAAATACCTGAAATCTACATGCTCAAAAGGATCTATTTCTTGGAAATTCTAATCAAAACCACAGTAAGATTCCACTTCACACCCCCTAAGATGGCTTTATTCAAAAAGACAGACAATGACAAGTGTTGACAAGGATGTGGATAAATGCAAATCCACATAAATTGCTGGGGTATAAAACAGTGAAACCACTTTGGGAAACAACTTTCTAGTTCCTTAAAAAATTTAACAAAGTTACCACATGACCCAGCACTTCCACTTGTAGATATGTATCCAAAAAACTTGAAAACAAGAACTGAAACAGACATATGTACCCCATTGTTCATTGCAGCACTATTCACAATAGTCGAAAGACAGAAACAACCCAAAGGTCCATCAAGCAACTAGTGGATAAGCAAAATGTGATTTATACATACATAGAATATTATTCATATAAAAAGTTATATATAAAAAATTATTCATATAAATACTGATACATTCTATGACATGGATAAACTTTGCAATCATTATGCTGAGTAAAAGGAGCCAGACACAAAAGGCCATGAAATTTCCACAGAAGGCAAAGCCACAGAGACATAGATTGATGGCAGCCAGGGGTTGAGAAGAAGGGCAAAGAGGAAATGAATCTAGGTTTTCTGAAATGAAATAGTGACGGTGGTTGCACAACATTGTGAATACACTAAAAACCACTAGTTGTACACTTCTAAATGGTGGATTTTTATGAAATATTAATGATATCTCAATAAAAATTACAAAAACATGTCTTTCTTGATTCTGGCCTTCTAAAAAGAACTGCTTTTGTAACGACATAGAAAATGCCATCTTTATCATTTGCCTATTTTTATTCTATGTATATACTTGTAGATTATTTCAATAAAGCATGGACCTGCACCATTTAATTTTGTAAGTCAACACAACCACCAAATAGGACAGGTGCGCAGTATCAAATTTCCGTCTTCTTCCAGTGACGTCTCTGTTTACTCCACAGTGCCCTCTTCTGTCCAACAAGAAAATTACATGGCACAAAACTTAGCACAAAATTTCCATTTTCCATAGGGCTTTGAACTGTTTCAGCTCTATTGGGTCATGGCTGACGAAGCAACACAGAAACGGACCCAATTTTTTTTTTTAATGTGAGTTAACCATAACAGTAACTAGAAAAGGAAAAAATACGGGTCAAAACCCTGCTAGAAACTTAATTTCCCTCTTAGAAAACGAGAGCAGCAAGAACAATGAATAGCAACCAAATCTCTTGTCAGGATGAGTCAAAAACAGTGGGGCCCAGGTCAAAGATGGCGGCCAATTGCACCGTTTTGATGTGTGTCACACTCCACAGTTCTGGCAATAATCCAATGCCATGCATCAGGCTCCTGAAAGGGCTCACTACACCGCTTCTGAATGTCACATTCCAGGGCTTTGATCGTAATTTTTCCCTTTCTGGTTAGCATTCTAGATCCCCCAAATTTAAAAATTCTGGTCTGTTCCTGTTTCGCTTCATCAATCATGACTGAACTGTTTCAAATTGGTTCAAAGCCTTGGTTTTCCAAACAAACAACAACAACAACAAAAAAAAAAAAAAAAATAGAAAAGAAGAACTAGTGTTACAAGATGGAAAAGTAAATAAGAATTCCATCAATTCAGGTGTTTAAAAATGACAATAATAAAAGAATGCCATAAGCAAATTGTCATAAGTATGTTTCAAATTGTAAATCATTTCTGCTACTAAACAAAACAGATACTCCACTCAGGTGAAATCTCTCTGTTACTTTGCCCACTTTAAAGGAACCTGAGACATACTGGTATATCTCACATATTCATTCATCAGAATAATGTCTTACACTAGAAGAGAGTGTAGTCTTTCTTTATTGAGTAAAAATTACAATAATATATCCTGAATAATAATCATAAAACCAAACCAAAATTAACCAACTGCTGTCGAGTTGATTCCAACTCATAACAACTCTGTAGGACAGAGTAGAACTGCCCCCTCAGGTTTCCAAAGCTGTAAATCTTTACAGAATCTTTCTCCTGGAGGGTGGTTGGTGGGTTCTAACAGCCAGTCTTTTGGTTAGCAGCTGAGCACTTTAACCACTTTGGCACCAGGGCTCCTCAATAGCCATAATATGGAATTAATTAGTAATAAAACACAGAGAACTCTGCATCATTTGTGTTGGTGATACCGATTTCCTTTATGGTAGCCTTTAACTTTTTCATGTTGTTGTGTTGTTGTTATATGCCGTCGAGTCGGCCACAACTCATAGCGACCCCTCCTTGGTTTTCTGAGGCGATATCACTATGGGAGTAGATTGCCCAACCTTCCTTCCCAGGAGTGGCTGGTGGGTTTGAACCCCCAGCCTTCTGGTTAGCAGTCAAGTGCCTTAAGCATCAGGCTAACAGTGCTCCCTAACTTTTTCATAGGGGCCTAAAAACCTTGAAATGTTTGATTTCTGTATTAATTAAAATTGATGTATATTACACATATATTTCTACATGCTACACACCTGTTATATATCAGTTTATTTGTAATGATAATAGCCTCAATACTTGATTGCTATGAAAACTTTTAAAATGCAAAGCCTATGGAAAAATAAATGGAAAATCAAAAGCAGAGCAGACATGCTCACCTTTTGCTGAAATATCCCTGCCAAGAGTGCTATGTTAGGAGACAAAAGTATGATTATTTCAAGTTGAGAATCCAGTGGGTCAGAATCGTAGACTGGAGATTTTAGAGACCATATAATCCAACATGAAGACACTTAAAAGAGGGAGAAATGCTACATGCATGATCAGTCTGAGTGAGTATGAATAGTAGTAACTCACAGTGGGAAAAAGGAATAATTTCATACTATCTGTCCAGGAAAAAAAAAAAAAAAGATGTGAGTTTAGTTTTCTAAGCTTTGGGAGCATTCAGATGGACAATGCAGGTAATAATAGTCTCAAATAATAGCTTCCAACACCAAAAGTCTTCACACATCCTCTTTCCAGCTTTAAGGTCAGTCCTTTGAGTCTATTATTACCCATGAACAATGAAAATCCAAATTCTCAGTACAGTTTCCCATCTTCAGTTGTAACAGAAATAGCATCCAATGTTATGGATTTATTTCTCACTATTCCAGAAATAGTCAAGTATCTACAGACAGAGGATTGCTATGGCCTGGATTTATCCTACAGTTGTATATTATATATCACATTCTTTCTCTATTATATTTTTCATAGAAAACAATAGTGATAACCATGTTCTCATAAATAAATTGCTTGCATAACAAAGATGAAAACAGCTTAAATCTCTGAATAAATATCCAGGAGATATTGTAGTTACATTTTCATCGTATGATGTGATGTGTTTCCAAAGAACTTTTATGAAACTCTCACTAGTAAGCGTTATTCCCTCAATAAACCCTTGCATTTTAATTAGACTGTATCATCTTACCTGGGAGAGATAAGACACGAACACTGGTATTTCATCAGAATAATCTGGAGAGCTAATAAAGAATGCAGAAGTCCAAGCTGCTTGAAGCAGAAACTGGGCCTTTATTTTGATCATGTTTCCCAGGTGATTATATGGAAAAACACAAGTTTGAGAGCAGAGCAATTATTGCAGTGGTCCTCAACCTAGGCTGCACATTGGAATCACTTGGTAAGTTGGAAAAACAAATACTGATGCCTATGTTCCGCCTCCAGACATCCGTGTTGTTTGGTCTGGAAGAAACCTGAGCATCAGAATTTAAAATCTCCCTAGGTGATTCTGATGTGCAGCCAAGTTTGAGAATTACTGTTTAAAGAATGGTACCAGGATTGATCAATATATTTTGAAGTCAAAAGAACAAAATACAACATTATTGAAAAGAGGAAGAGAAGTAAAGAAGTCTAAAGGGCAATATTCTACAATTCTACCCCAAATAGATTGGACCATGAAGCCAAGAGGTGAGAAAGAAATTGAGAAAAGTAGGTGATTGCATGTCTCAGAAGGTATCTGAAGCCACTATAAGGTATTAGGCAAGTAGTGGCAAAATGTTAAAGAACATTTGAGTAGACAAATGACATAATTAACACTATGCTTCAGGAAAATAAATTTTGTGGAAGTATGCAAGACAAATCAGAGTGGGAAGAGTCTAGAGGAACAGAGAAAGTAGACCTATTGAAGGACACCAAAGTGCAAGGTCCTGAAGGTGTAAACTAGTAATGGGAAAATGCAGAAGTTTAACAGTACTTAATAATGCCATGGTGTGGGAGAACATGTTTTTGTTTGGTGCCTTCAAGTCTCCAACTCATAGTGACCCTATGTATAATGGAATAAAACACTGACCACTTTTGCACCATCCTTGAAATCATTGCCATGTTTCAGCCCATTGTTTCAGCCACTGTGTCAATCCATTTCATTGGTCTTGCTATTTTTTGCTGACCCTCTACTTTACAAAGTATTATGTCCTTCTCCACGGACTAGTTCCTTTTGATAATATGTCCAAAGTTTGTGAGATAAAGTCTCTTCATCCTCACTTCTAAGGAGCATTCAGGTTGTACTTCTTCTAAGACAGATTTGTTCATTATTCTGAAAGTCCATAATATACTCAAAACTCTTCACTGACACCATAATTCAAAGGTGTAAATTCTTCTTCAGTCTTCCTCATTTATTGTCCAGCTTTCACTTGCATAAGTAGTGGTATAAAATGCTATAACTTGAATCTAATGCACCTAAATCCTCAAAGTGAAATCTTCATTTTTTAACACTTTAAAGAGGTCTTTTGCAGTAGATTTGCCAATGCAACAGGTCATTTGATTTATTGACTGTTGCTTCCATAGGTGTTGTTTATGGATCCAAGTAAAATGAAATCCTTGACGACTTCAATATTTTCTCCATTTATCATGATGTTGTTTATTGGTCTATTCTGAGGATTTTTGTTTTCTTACTATTGTGGTGTAATCCATACTAAAGACTGTAGTCTTTGATCTTCATCAGTAAATCCTTCAAGTCCTCTTTGCTTTCAGCAAGCAAGGTTGCATCATTTGCATATCACAGGTGGCTAATGAGTCTTCCTGCAATCCTGATGCCACATTCTTCTTCATATAGTCCAGATTATATACTCAGGATACAGATTGAATAAGTATGATGAAAGGATACAACCTTGATGCTTACCTTTCCTGACTTAAAATGATGCAGTATCGCCTTGTTCTGTTTGAATGACTGCTATCTTAGGCTAGGATCTTTAGAGAAGCAAAACCCATAAACTTTATATATAAATATACATAGGGGGGCTGGAGAGAACGAGAGAAAAATTTATCTCAAGGAAATGGTCCATACAGTTATAGAGGCTGGCAAGTGCCAAGTTCCTGCCTGGGTCAAATGTCAAGCTGGAGGTTTTCCCAACTCATGTAGCTGCAGAGGCTGACAAATCCAAGATTGGCAGGCAGTACAGCAGCCTGTGGACTTCAATGGATGAAGAAGTCATGATCAGCCAGCAAAATAGCTGATTGTTGGCTCACGGGACTGTTATAGAGGCTGGCAAGTCCCCAGTTCATAGGTCAAACATCAAGCTGGAGGCTTTTCCTGATTCATGCAGCTGCATGGGGCTGATGAACCCAAGAAGAGCAGGCAACATGGCAGGATCCAAATCCAAAAGAAAGTTCCTGAATTTTCCCCAGGATTATCTATCTATCTATCTATCTATCTATCTATCTATCTATCTATCTATCTATCTATCTATATCAGAAGCAGGTTACAGCCCTAAGGAAACTCCCTTTCATCTCATTGGCTGCTCAAAACATATTCCACCATGGAGGTGACTAACTTATATCAGATCTCATCATGGGAACAACCATACTTCAACTATTTAAACTACTCAGAATCATGGTACAGCCAAATTGACACACAACTGTCTCTTGGTTTATGTACAGGTTCCACATTAGCACAGTTAGATGTTATAGATTTCCGTTCTTCAGAATGTTATCCATAATTTGTTATGATCCACACAGTTGAATGCCTTTGCATAGTCAATCAAACACAAATAAAATCTTTCTTGTATCCTTTGTTTTCAACCAAGATTCATCTGACATCAGCAATGATATCCTTTGTCCTTTATCCTCTTCTGAATCGGGCTTGAACTTCTGGCCATTTCCTGTTGATGTGCTATTGTAATCATTTTTGATCATCTTCACACATTTCACTTCTGTGTGATATAAATGATATTTCTTGATAATTTCCACATTCTGTTGGATCACCTGTTCTTGGAATGTGAAAAAATATGTATCTCAGTGAGAGAAAATTCAAACATAACAAAGAAATATCTAGTGTGGGAAGTAGAGAGAACTCAGTATTACTAATAGGAGTGAAAAAGGCTTAGGGGATAACACTGAGTTTTAGCTATCAGAGTTTAGGATGCCAGAAGAATATGCAGTAAGAAGTAAGAAATATCAGGTTGGAATTCATGACAGAGGTAAGCTAGGGATGGCCCACTATGATTTGGTGCCCTTCCTGTTTCCACTATCTTCTTCATCTGCCCAGGTACTTCAATTATTTTACAAATGATTAACAAGGAAAAAATGACCAAAGCTTAATATATTAATAGAATCAGCTCTACAGCAAGTAGAGGGAGAAGAAAAATAAATTAAGAATCCTTAGAAATCAACAAGGAAAAATCAGCACAATAATTTTGAAATGGGCTAAGGATAGGAACAAAAACTTTAAAAAGAAACAATACACATAAATAACAATATACATATGTGTGTGTATGTGTGTATTATGTGCTATCGAGTCGGACCTGACTCATACCAACCCCTTCTTGGGTTTCCGAAGCAGTATCACTATGGAAGTAGATTGCCCAACCTTCCTTCCAAGGAATAATATACATAAGTTCACTTTATTAATACTCAAAGAAATTAAATATGAAAGAAACTCTTGCTATTTGTCATGTAAAATTGATAACTATGAGTATTAGTGAAGATACTAATGGCATACTAGTGAAAAAGTCATTTTTGTACATTGCTGATAGTAATATAATTGCTAAACAATTTGAAAAAGAAATTTACTGCTGAAAATTTATTATAAGAACATAATACATATATCTCTGAATTTATGGGGATGTTCACCCATGTTTCCTTGGTAATAGCAAAAATCTAGAAATATATTAAATGTTCAATAATAACAGATGTTTTAAAGATAAAGATGTTCACATGTAATTAAGCAAAAAAAAAAAAAAGAGTCCACGGTAAAACAATACAAGTGTACTTACATATTTTTGTTGAAAAAATGTTATTTGTTGATATTCAATTAGAAAATGATGTAAAATATATGCTCTGTGGTATAGGAATAATTTAACAAATAGTTATCCACTACTACATGCCACTGGGAGCTCTGGTGGCATAGTGCCTAAGGCATTTGACTGCTAACCAGAAGCCTGGTGGTTCAAACCCACCAGCCACTCCTTGGAAGGAAGGTTGGGCAAATCTACTTCTGTAGTGATACTGCCTTGGAAACCCAAGGAAGGGTTGCTATAAATTTAATCAACTCAACGACAGTGAGTTTTGTTTTTTTTATATGCCACTACTACATAACTGTCAGTTTGTCTTACTGTGGTTCCTTGTATGTTCCTATGATGCTGTAAGCTCTGCCATTGGTATTTCAAATATCATCAGGGTTATGCAAAGTGCACAAGTTTCAATGGAGCTTCTTGACTAAGACAGAATAGGAAAAAGCCTCGATACCTATTTCTGAAAATTAGCTGTTGAAAACCTATGGAGCAGAACAAATTACTGTTTGATATAGTGGTGGGAGATGAGCACCCTGGGTTGGAAGACAACAATGCATTCAAACGTGCTGGTGATGATGAGTATGGTGTAGGACAAGGCAGTGGTTTTTTGTTGTTATGTATGAGGTCATCATAAGTCACAGCCAACTAACAATAACAACCATGTACCAGCACTGCTATAAAACCTGTATATGCAGCAGTGAGCACACCAAATTATGTCCCTGCTCTATGGAGATTACATTCTGGTGGGAGCTGAGGGGTAAGTACAATAGTCAATAAAAATAGCTGATAGGGGAGTTCCGGCAAGATGGCAGACTAGGCAGAAAGACTGCACAGACTCGCTTCAGCAAAGAAAAGGGAAACCAATTAACACAGACACAGAAGATAATCCTGGATGCCTGAGCCTTGAAGGGAAGGGAAGTGGACTAAACCCCAACTAGCAGAAGAATTTGCGTGAAAATACCAAAAAAGGAGACATATGAGCTGCGGTCTGGCAGTGATCCTGAGCGATACTGATGGCACACACAGCTTGGAGATTCCCGAGTGGTGGTAGGACCTAAGAATTAACCCAAAAATCACCCTGCTAGCCCAGAACTGCACGGAAGACTGTACACGGTGGCTGGGGAACAAATGGAGAAGATGAAGAGAAAGGTGGGCTCAGCTGTGGACTTCTGCTGGGCCGGAAGGGTGTTGCCATTTTGTAGGTTTAAAAAGCAGCCTGACTATTTTGGATATTTAAAGAGACAGTGCTCTAGCAGATTCTTGTGGTGGTAGGACTTAAGAATTAACCTAAAAATCACCC